TTTTTTTTTTCTTAATCGAAGATTTTTATAAATATTTTAATATTAATTATAGGTAAATATGATTAAATTCCAATATTTTTATTATTCGTTCAATTGTTTGCAGATTTTTAATTAAATGAAAATGGCTGGAGGAAGAGTAAATATTTTAAAATAACTTTCTTCTATAATTTTAATTAATAATTTTCAAAAAAAATAAGAAGAATACAAAACGATTTTTTTCTCAAATAAAAGAGACGAACAAAATGATTTTTTTTTAATTTGCTTAAAATGATAAGAAAATCAAGAATAAAAAAAATGTTTAAAAATGATTCTTCTTCAATTTTAATTAATAATTTCCAAAAAAATAACAAGAAAAAAAATTATACAAAAATCACAATGATTAATCATTAAGTAGGTACAATTAAATTCTAATATTTTTATTATTTGATACAAATAATTTATAAAAATTTGATTTTTTAGATTAATTCATAGAAAATGATAGAAAGAAGAGAACAAATAAAATGCTTCTTCTTTTCTAATTCCAATTCACATAAAATGCAAGAAAAGGATGAAAAAATACTCTAATCTCGATTACTAGTCCCAAAAAATGGCGAGAGAGAAAAAAAGAAGACAAACGATACTTTTTTAATCCCAATTAATTCACATAAAATGGCGAGAAAAACTTCCAATTCTTCTAAATTCCCAGAAAATAACGAGAGAAGAAAACAAAAAACAAAAAAATCTTCCAAAACGATTCTTCCTTCCTAATCTCTCAATTAATTGCATAAGACGACTTTTTTAGGAAAAAGCCAATAAAAAAAAATACATCCAATCTCGATTACTAATTCATAAGAGACTGAAATCGACAAAAAGAAAAAGAAAAAGGAAAAAAAGAAGAGCAAATCCTGCGAAACGATGGATGAACAGAAAATGGCGGGAAAACCGCTTTCGAACGAGCGAATGCTCCATTAAACGATCATCATCCGAAGACAAAAAGGTGAAGCAAGGATGAAAAGGTAGGGGTATCGAGACAGAAGAGAGGGACACGAAGGAGCGGAAAGCGAGAGAGAAAGCTCGCAGTCGACGCTATTCTTCATGAACGAGGGACACCTCTCTTTATCTCCATTCCGCGACGAGTTGGTTAAAACAGCTTCTCCTTCAGTTGTTGCTCGCCAACCCAGCGTTTCGCGCGGTGTCACGCACGCCTCTCGGCGATTTCGGCGACGAGCTCTGCTCGTGTACATCACACGAGCGACCACGTGTTTCGTTCCCTCTGCGAGCGCAACACCTGGATTTCTTCCTCTTCCATCTTCCTCGTACGACTCGTATCCCACTGAAAATTCACTGATAACTTTTCTCGTCGCACGAGAAAAATAATCGGCCGATAATACCGAAAAGTGAAAGCGACAGATGAGATTTTTGTTTCGGTGCGTGTCCACACCGGTGCTTCCGTTCTGCTCGTCGTCGGCCTCTTTGGAAATTCCGAAACGGTGAACGGATCGTTGTAGGATCGATATCAGGTATGTCGTTAACCGAATACGTTAAGCTGATTTTCATGTTTGAGGTTAGAAAATTTTTCTTTATACTTTGAAATTTTGCAAGATTCTTTTGCGATTGTTTATTTGAAAGAAAGTGTATTCTCATGTACGTGATTCTGATAAATCTATATATTCCGATTTGTTCGATCGAAAATAGTGATTAATTTATTGAAAATATTCTGACATTTGGAATTCAAATTGATTTACTTTCTGAACATTTTTTTAATTTTTAGCGTCAACCAGAGATGGGCAAAATTTTAATGAAGTTATGAATAAAGTTATTTCAATATAAGTTACTTTGAATGATTTATCAATCAGAGTATATTATTTCATTTATTTTTAATTGATTAATTAAAGTATATAAGTTAGAAAGACTATTATACTGTAGTAGTTATGAATTGATTAATAATTAAATAATAATAATAAATTCTTACTCAAAGTAACTTTATTCAAAATTTTAATTAATTTAATCAGTTCATTAGCGCTCAACTCTGATGCCAAATACATGATTAAAATTATATATATATATATATAAAATTTAACTTTCTAGGAAAATCTAGAATCCAAATGATTAGCCTTCAATTGATAACTTTGGCTTCCGGCAATCTTCATTTGGTTGCTCAATTAACATACACGTCTCGCGCATAAATAAAATAAGCAGAGGTCTTAATCCACGTGCCAGGTTACCTCTCGAATCATCCAAACGCAAAATTAGCAACAGGCTGAAAACATTTTTGTTTCGAGCAATCTTTTTCTGCAACCACGCATCACAATTATAATTGTAACGTTGGATTGCAAGAAGGAACCTCAAGGTGCTCAGACTCTTTTTGAAAAAATAAAATATTTAATTAAGTTTTATTTTTTTTTTATAGATATTCCTAGATCAAAATTGACGAAATTAAAACATGTTTTCTAACGTTGAACTTCTGATCACTTATCTTTTTAAAGAATATATAAAAACCGAGACCATTATCATTGAGACTCTTTTTGAATTCCAATTACATTAAATGATTATAATCAATGAAAGATGCGATTATGTTTTGTATTTAATTAAATATCAACGTTACGAATTAATGATAATAATTTGGACAAATTAAATTATAATTTAATGACGTTACGAAAAATGGAAAGCAGATCTATTGGCACGGTGTGAGCCCAATTTTTGGTGAAAGCATACTCGATTTACATACTCGATTTCGAAGAAAGTGATCTTCCGAACGGCGAAAGTGATAAATGATCATCGTTCGTAACGAATGAGATGAATCGAGAGAATTTTTTTAATTTGCGAAGCATGGCTTTTTTACGGTGGACATATTCGAAACACACGTGGTAGACGCGCGCAAAATCTCGTATACGAACAATTGCGTGACCACGCATACGCCAACGTATTCGCATAATTTTCCTTCATAAAGATGTTACCAGTTGTTGACTGTCAAATATAGATATATATATACATATATACATGTATTTTTAAGTAACGTATACCTTGCCACATTATAAAGATTTATTACATTACTTTTTATTCATTCTTATGGTTCTTGGTGAAAAGTGTGGTTTCAATGTAAATTACAATTTTTATTTATCTTTCGAGGAAATATTTCGTATGTAGTAACTTAATATTAAAATGTATTAGAGACCAAGTCAAATTGACTAATTGACTTCCAGATTTTTATTGTTACTTAAAATTGACAAATATTTTTGGCAAAATTGATATCTTTGATGAGATTCGATTTTAGAGGCTGAAACAAAATTTTGGGTGAGATTTATTTATTGAGTTATAAATAGTTTAATCTAAGTTTACAGCAGTGTGACAGAAATAGAACTGTTTCAATGGAAACTTAACCCTTCATAAATGATATTGATGATATTATTGTACAAAGTCGATGCATTGTATGATACATTTTCTTTAATTTTTAATTATTTTTTAAAACTAAATACATAAAAATTGTAAAAATAACTCAAAGATTATAACATTTGAAATACTACGCACAATATACGAAAAAAAACAAATTGAATATCGTTTGACGAATTAATTTGTTTAAATAAATAAGTCTTTAAAAATGTTTCACAAATATGTTTAATTATTCTTACAATGTATTTTAACTAATATTTAATGTTAATATTTATCGTTTCTCAAAACATATTTATCTCTTCAGTGTGATATTATCGTACAATTATGATCGATAATACTTGCTCAATGTCTCAACGAGCATATATATCGACTTCTCGTTATCGTTTCAGATCGATCTCTCGAGGCAACAGAAACGCTGCGCGGGAAAATCAAAGGAGAGGAAGGAAGAAGCCATTCATTTTCATCGAACAAACTTATTTTTCTCTTCCTATGTGAAGAAAAAATTTCGAATAACATTACGTGTAACCGAGTATGTTGCCATATATCGTAAAACGAAAAACGACGTTGAATACTTGGACGAAATCGAGGCGTTATTAAGATTGGTGAAAAAGATAACACGTTTAAAGAGGTGCTATTAACTCAATTATACAGTGAAATCGATTGCTCAAATTTTTAATGCACGGTTTACTGCCGAGATCCCGAACAATAATCACAAAATAATCGGTTAATGGTTGAATCATGAAGTTTATGATAATGAGAGGTGATTTTTTGCACGATCAAGATCACAATCAAAGTTTTGCAAATTTTTGAAAATTTATCGCTGAAGCACGTTGATTTTACGTTTTTGTGCCAAATCTCTCATCTGTATATATAGTAAGTTTTAGAATTGTAATTATTATATATATATTTAAATTCATTTAATTTCATTTCTTTTTAAAGAGATTAAACAAATTTTTTATGCTTTAATGCAATAAAATATTCAATTTCCAATTCCATTTTCTCAATTTCTTTACATATTAAAAAGCAATTTATCCATACAATAATCCAAAAAGTTTCTTTGATAAAATTTCTTTATTATTTTTCAATTGTCATATTGTCATATGTTACAAAGCAAATTATTTTCAAAGAGATCAACAAAATTCCTTTATATAATTCCTTCATATTAAAATTCCATCAAAATTTAAATTTTAAATCAATTTTATTAAAATTTTAATATGGCAGAATAGTGCATTGAATTTAAATTTCAATTATAAAGTTATAACTTTTATTAAAATTAATAAATTTAAATTTATTAATATTTCAACATGAATAATATTTATATTTCAAGAATCAAATTCTTTTTATACAGATAATTTAGTTTCATTTCATAATATAATTATAATAATTATTATTG